CTACTCCTTAAAATTCAGACGAGGATAAAGTTATTTCTAGGAGCATGTCTATGATAAAATTAAACAAGAATGGAGAAAGTGGACATCCCTGACGGACACCACTTGAAGTACAGAATTCAGATGACAGTTCGCCATAAGCTCTCACTCGACCAGTGGTGTTTGAGTAGAGAGCCTGTATAAGGTTAATGTACTTCTTTGGTACACCTTTCAATGACAGACACTGCCACAGAACCTCACGATCCACTGAGTCAAATGCCGCCTTAGGGTCCAGGAAAACAACTATTGTAGGACGCCTAAATGTGTGTCTATGTTCCAGGACCTGTCGTAGTGTAAATTGGGACAATCAGTGATTGAGTCCAGTCGGATGGGATTACGTCCAGTTACCAGATCCTACCTAAGATCTCAGTCAACCTAGCTGCTAAAACTGGACCACCATCCTTAAATATCTCAGGGGTCAGTCTATTAGGACCCGCAGCTCGCCATCGCTTCAGATTTCCTAACGCTTTTTCAATTTCATTAAGACTAGGGGGGTTACGTCGATTTGCCATTCAGGATGACTGAAGATCGTGGGTAACCGAAGAGTGGCTCGAGGCCAGTTGAACTGATCCCTAAATTGTTCTGCCCATCGATCCAGTCTCCTGGATTGAGAATAAATAATAGTCCCATCATTTTCTGAGATAGTCTCACTTACATTAGGATTCCTAATACCAGTTTGCTTGATAAGTCGGAAAAGTTGTCTACTGTTGCCTATCGCCGCTGCCTTTTCCATCGCTTTTCCTTTCGCCACCCACCACTGTTCGCGGTCGTTACGTAGGCTGTTTATAAGTCTGTGCCTAAGTTGTTTTCGTTCTTCATCATGTTCAGAGCCAGGTGGGATGAGTTTTCGGGCATCCATCAGATCGGTGGATGCTACTGAGATCCACGGCTTCATTCTAGCCTTATGGTCAACCTTACTAGCAGATATCACTGCTATTTCCACAGCCTTTGTGATATCATTCCAACCTGCTTCCGGATGGGAACCGCTCAAATGGTCGCCTAACTGTCTTTCTAGTTGTTCCTGAAATATATTTTTCGCCCTATTATCATTAAGTAAAGCCCTAAGAGGCTTCCTTATGGTGTATTTCCTACGCCCAGTAAGCTTCAAACAAATACGCGCTCGCACTAGGGCATGATCTGATTCTAAACATGTGCCCCAGAACGAGCGACAGTCTTCTATCGAACCCCTCCATCGGTGGCTGATGGCGATGTGATCTAGTTGTGCCCAACGTTGAGACGACTTTGGAGGTCGCCAGGTCAACAGATGTTTTTCCTTATGCCTAAAGTTAGTGTTTGCTAGAAATAGTTGGTTATCTGAGCACGATTGCAACAGACGGTCACCATTGTCTGTTCTTTGAGCTGCTACACCATAACATCCACCTAGGTGTCTTTCATTTTCACTTAGTCTATCTACTTGAGCATTAGTCACCAGCCATTATTACTATATCAGAGCGCCTAGCTTTTTGGAGGTCTGAAAGCTTTCTGTAAAACTTATCTTTAACCTCTTCTGAACTGCAGTCAGTGGGGGCATAGGCAGATACGATGAAGAGGCAACGGCGATTGTCCCTATCTTTCCGAGTCCTTACTGTCCCGTTTAGTCGGACAGCGCACAAGCGACTATCTACTGGGATCCAGTCAAGGAGAGATTGTTCAGCTCTACGACTCAATGCTATGCCTACGCCAGCAAGACCCCTGGAAGCAGCATCAGGGCTACCGGATACACGAAGAGTAAATCGAGCTGCTTCTTTATTTTGACAAGGTGAAATCAGATTATTAGTTTTACTAGGATCCTGTATGAGCGTTTCCCAAACGCAGCATAAATCGATTGAGCGAGATTCTCAAGTCCTAGTTAATGATGCCTGTTGCCCTATTTGACACAATGTCCGTACATTAAATGCTCCAACATGTAGTCTAGAGCGGGGTTTAAGGAGACCAGAAACGACGTTTCGCGAACTCGTGTCGTCTGCATTAGCTGTGCACTGTGATAAATGAATGTGACAAGTGTTAGTCGTTGAGATAAGAGAGGTATTAGAGGGTGTAGGAAGGATTTGATTTTGACCAATTTGGTCTCGTGTGCTGTTACGGGTATGAGGGCGGTTGTCACTTCCCGGCTGCCCACACTGTGGAAGGTTGTTTCTTGAGGAACCTGAAAAGGAAAATAGATTAGTGTGGGCTTAGAGACCTGGGAGCGTGACCGCAGAGTCCAAGGGACAACTGCTTCAGGCCGGTCACGCACGGCCTTTTTATGAAACGTTTTTAGAGGATTAGCTCCGTTCTTTAAGGCCCTTTGTGGGCACCCTTACCCAAGGAGACGGAAATCCGTGAGGTAGGGGAGGTGTGACATTTTTAGGGCCGACCTTTTCTAACCCTTCCTTCCTTGTGAGAAGGCAGCATCGCTGCAGATGCTGGTTGTCCGAGGGAAACACCTTACTGCTGTCACACCCCTCTGCAGTCAGCAGTACGACTTCGCCCTCAGACCTTGGGTAGCTGCTTTCAGTCTCATCGTTTTCCAATCGACCAGCCTGGCATGGCAGGACCTACAGGAACATATGTTCCAGCCAGTATAGCTCGGTTGGGTCATCACGATAGGCAAGCCCGACCACCACGTCAAGGTAGCAGCTACGGTCGGGAAAGCCAAGGGTATATTTAAAGAACAAACGGAAAAACAGTTAGGCAGCCATGTAACTGATACTCACCCCAAGGCAGCTTCGAATGGGAGCAGTTCAACTGGTCTTCAGTCACATTTCGCCTACCCACGATCTCCAGTCAACCTGAATGGCGGATTGATGTAAGTCCTCCAACTCTAAATGAGATTGAAAAGCCTATAGGCAATCTCGAACGAGGTAGAGCAGCAGAACCTGATAGATTAACCCCTGAGATTTCTAAGGATGGTGGACCAGTTTTAGCAGTTAGATTTACTGGGATATTAGCTAGGATCTGGTCGAGCTATGTTTTGTGGTGTAGGAATAGGTTGGAAGAAAGTTAGGGGCGGCCAAACGAAAGCGTGGCAGAAATCCATTAAGTCACTGACAAGTGGACTAAGTCATGTCGGTAGGTGTCGACTACCTGGTTGGGGTCCGCGAGATGATAGTAATCGACGGTTAGAGATTTTGAATGACGTCTCAAAGTCGTTTGTAATGGCGCAGATGCATCCATTCCTTGTGTTCTCTCAAATCCTAAACTCCTTAATCCCTCATCACTTCATCTTTTTCTTTTAAAGTCTCTTACTAGATTCTACTTCTTGAGTAACTTCCTCGAACCCTAATCTCTCCAATTACTGCTAATACCTTTTCCATCTCTACTACTATGGGATTTGAGTTGACAATTACATCTCTGTGCTAATGTGGTATGGCGACTTGAACTGATATACGAAGTTCTACGTTGTTGTTGATTGATTGATTGGACGTAATTCAATCTGACTGATCTCTATCGCCGGTTGTCCAATCTATAGGAACGGACAAAAGTCCTTTTGTGACAATCACATGGGAATCAATCTTACTAATATAGGGTCTAAAATATTAGCTTCAACAATACTTCAACTCGTGAAGAGCAAATTCGAGAAAACCAGACTGGTTTCTGACCTGGACACGGATGTATGGACCAAACATTCATACTTCGTCAGTCCTAGAACACAGACACATCCAGACGTCCGACAATAGTTGTCTTACTCGACCTTAAGGAGGCATTTGACTCAGTCGATCGTGAGGTCCTGTGACATTATTTGTGGTTGAAAGATGTACCAAAGAAGTGTATTAGCCTTATACAAGTTATCTACTGGAACACTACTGGTCGAGTAAGAACTTATGGTGAACTGTCATTGGGATTGACTACTACAAGTAGTGTTCGTCAGGGTTATCCATTCCCATTCAACTTTGTTATCGACATGCTTTTAGGGACGACACTTTCATCATTTGACTTTTCAGGAGTTGAACATTTACCGGGAGATTCACTTATCAACATAGAGTACGCTGATGACAGTTCTATTTGGTGAAGACGCCGACGGAATGAAGAGTCTTCTGATCACCTTAAGCAACAACGTATGTTTGGGAAGCGATTCTCACCCTCGAAATGGAAAATGTTGCTTCAGCATTGCTTGTGTACCTTGGGAAATCGAGTAAGCGATGCTGAAGTTAAGAAAAATCTACTTGGTGTTAAGGATGGCGAATCAATAGGTGAAGTAGTGAATCTTCATCAGTTGAGGTAGTTGGAACGTGTGTTACGTATACGCAACCGTCAACTGCCTCGAAGAGCGATGTTTCGTGATGTAGTTGTGGTCTGGAAAAAAGCTACAGCTGGCCAAACCAAAACATGGCACAAATCGACGAAGTCGTCGACATTTGGAATGAGCCATGTAAGTAAATGTAGACCAACTGGTTGGGTCGGCGAGACAATCTAAGCGATTGTTAGAGACTGAATGACATGATTCAAAATTGTCTACAGTGGTGCAGATGCATTCAATTTCTGTCTTATCTTAAACTCTAATCTTCCGAATTCCTCATGACCTTCATCGTTCCCTGCTCAAATTTATTTCACAGGATTATACTCCTTGAATAATATCTTCGACCTTTTATCTTTCCGATTACTGCTTATACTTGTACTACCACTACGGGATTTGGATTGAAAATTGCATCTGTGTTGATACGGTGTGGCATCTTGAACTGATGTACGTACATACCAAGTTATGTTGCAGCTGACTAACTACCGGTAACACGCGAAACTAATACTCGTTTAGGAATCCCTAATATCTCGTTTTTCGTTTACCGAATCTGAATGCCGTGAAGAAATCAAAAAGCTTTGTGGGAAAACTCGTTAGCTATGACACAGCTAGTAAAGAATGTGGGGTCAAACGTATAGCCAAGTAGGATTGAATCAAATATTCAGTGGAGTCATCTGTCATAAATCAGACCCTCCTCTTTGCTCATGTTACTTTAAATAGATATACTAATATTTAAATAAAAACAAACCTCGTGGTCATGATTGTAATCGTTCACAGGAGAGCTTATTCCGGTTACGTCATAGTTATGTTCAGAGTTCCTTTCCTGGAGGTTAGTCTTTTCTGTGATAGGACTTGTGCAAGGTTATGGTTTTCAGTAGTACCTGTGGCATTTAGAACTGTGATTCGGCTCAATATAAGAGCATTCATCAATACCCTTTTCTTCCTGTGCCTAACAAGTTGATAAGTAAACAACTTTAACAAAACTACTAGTATTTCGTCCGCATTTCTCAGAAGATCATTTGTTTTCGCCTCCAGCAAAGAGTTTATATACCTTGAAAATAAAATGGCAACAGCTTGTACCTATACTCATACTCCCTATCGAGAGGACCACTCCCACATTTCGCAGCCGCATCACGCGCAAAGACGCTCATGGACAGCGGGGTTGCGAAGGTCAACATAGCACGTATTTGCATTAGTATGTTTGAAAAAATTCGGATGCATGAAAAAGAACAATCTGACCTTTCCAAGCATAACGTTTGTGTTCGAAATACTCTAATGTTGGAAAAAAAGCTGTTCGTTATTTTGGAAAACACGAAACCTACGTGTAAGAAAGATCTCTTTTAGGTAAGCAGTCTTCTTTCAAATCAATGGTCTTAAAAGTGTTTTTTTGTTGCGTTTCGATGGGCCTTTTCAAAAATTTTCTCAGTTATCGGTTTTTTGAATCTTCCTTATTCTTCTGCTTTAAATCATCAAGGAATTATAGTACCCGATTGTGACATGTAAATTGAGTAATTCTAGTAACCACAATGAAATACCACAAATTTTTCCTAATTTGTAAGAACAACAAGATTACCTTCACCTTTGACAGTACCGATTCCGTATTTTGTTACAGATAGGTATTGTAATTCGTTTGAAAATTCACTCTATCTACTTTCATCCTCGTTTATAAAATTATCTAAGTTTCGCTTTTTTAGTATCTATAATTTCTGTCGGTTCCTTTCATCATTGGATGGAGGTGCATACCATTTGCTAACTTGTTCTTCAGCAAACTTATTCCTCCATCCTCTCCTCTTCCACATCCTGTAGAGGTGCTCCCGAATATAACACACTATCATGCTTAATGGAAACCTACCAAAAGCCTTATGTTACAGTTCATACCGTTATTGACAAGATGTTGTTTCTTGATAATTTGAACTAAAGTGTCACTAAAAGATCCAAAGGCATAAAACCGGTGGAAACCTAAGAATTACAGTCCCTAAACAACATATTTACGCCAAAATGTCTACTAGATTCTGGATTCAGGCAGCCTCATCAAGAAACATCTAACCACGTATCGAAGCTCACTTGATACATTACATAACCCACTTTATCAAGATATTTGAGTGTTTTTAAGGCTCATCTTACTGTAACAAAGTAAAAAGTAAGGAATTTCTGTAGTTCAGATCCACATCTGGATCGCCGCCACCCTCACCTGATACGATCCCTCCCACAATTTAATATACAAATTCATCTTCCCATATGTGGTGACTATTTTATACTACTGGCCTCTATGATACCTGTGAAGGACTTCAGTGACTTAAAAACTGATTGCTTTGTATTTTGCAATCAACAATCCGCGTCAATCCAGATTTTCATAAAGCTCGTACTGATCACCGATATAATCATTTCATCCACAGCCACAAGATTCTCTTTTAACTACGACTATGAAAAGGCTTATTTTCATTCATATCATTTACAGTGGAGTGAAAGTTGACTCTAAATGCGGTGCGGCTTAACTCGTTTGTGCAGTAGGACTTTGACTTTTACATAACTTTTGTAGGACTTTGGTTGTTTTAGGTTGACATAGACCTAACCTGCAAGGACAGGCGGGTGGCAAACAGCAGACTCATTCTCACTCAATTTCTGTCGTGCTTTACATGCTTCGCGATATACTGCGTACATTTTTCAATGCATAATATTCTATAACTCTTATGAAGAACATCACAATGTTGAAGAATAAATAAAAATATAATATCATCGGAAATACTGGAAGGAAAACAGTAGATTTAGTCGATTGTAAGATAGTTCCTCAGCTGATCTGCCCAAAATATCAAGTGTGTTATTCCCATTCTCCTCTTCGCACGTCTCCTGCGTGGATGTTAGCCGTTCGTACTCCTTCTGGTATTTCGATATCACGGGGCCAGTATCAAATGTACTTTTTCCTCTAGAATCTACTTCTTATTTGATTCTCAGAGTTCCGGGATTAACATTTGTTATCCCGCGAGGTTGTTTATTATTCGATTTGCTATAATATAAAGATTACGAGTAAAGAGCACTTTGTATCTATCTTCGTTCACTTTATAATTCTTGTTTTCGTTAACAATTTCATCAGATATCGATCAGATGGAGTGACTGTTGAGTCGAAATACCTGAAGATATCCAGAAACCATTTTGAACAACCTCTTACAGTCTTCATTAACCATTAGCTAGGGGAAAATTGTTTGTCTTGTTCTAGATGTTGATTACTTTTGAAGGTTCAAAATGCATTAGCGTTTTGTGACTTGAAGATATCAGCAATTGAATAGTAATAATAATGAATTCAAGTTGCTCCATAATATTGTAAATCACGGTGCATAAATATTCTTTAATATTGTGCAGGTTTTAAAAATTGGCTACAGTTTCTGTTTTGGGCGCTCGTATTGCGAAATAACCGTGTTACAATTATTATAATAGTGCCATCTGATAAAATCTAGATACAATGCCTTTCCTATTGCCCAGGGTTTTATCCATGTAAAAATCCGCCTCGACAACTTATGTGATGGATTAATTCATAAACCTAAATATAAATAAATTATGGTGACTTAGGGTGGGGAGAATACTTAGGTGAAAATATTATTCCGAGATCTCAAAGCAACTATGTGGCAGTGTTGATTGGGTGTGATATACCAGACTCACATTGAATTTCGGAAAAACCTTTGGAAACAGAAAACATTCGTTGGGACTGTATACTCATCTTGGTTGGTAGATTATAATCACAAAGGGAACAAATAGTTCAGCACACAAAGCTGAGTGATGTCATCGTTCTTCAGCTCATGATACTGAATAATAAAAATTTATCCCTAGATAACAAAATTTCACAAGGGGCAATGCCAACTTACGGGCAAGTTCAAAATGTTAAAATTGCTAGGACATTTACTGTAAGACTTTCAATCACAGTTATATCTCACAAGATACACTGGGTTTTTTATAGAGGGATAATATTTTTCACATAAAATTGTGAATAATGTTTCAAACTCTGCAATGCAGAATACGATAATTGGCGCGATTTATGTCGGTTGCATTGCGACGAACCACTGCTGGTTGAGAACCACTGCAAGGTAAATCTGAGTCTGTATATAACAAGAACTGGTGAAGTATATGCGTGATGGTTTTCTTGATGAGATTCTCCAAATAAAAATTTGAAAGGCTACTGGGTAAAGCAATCAATTCTTCCGCATGATCGATGATATTATTTAAGGCGTAATGTGAGGTGTTTAAAAAGAGAAATAAAGTGAAGGGTGCGAGAAGCATAATAGAAAATATGCGTGTTCAGAGGTGATTCAAGACTCAGCAGATCATTTTTTGATTACTCAAGTACCTAAGGTTTTAGAACCTGATTATATAATGAATCGTAACAAATGTGGAGACAGTTATATATTACTTACTAAAGAGCCGATGATTTTTCACAACTGTACGAAAGTTGATGCTGGTGAATAATCTGAGCAACGGCCTTTTAGAATCTAGTCACATGATTACCTATGGCATACCGAAATATAATGAGGAGTGTGGGCATATCGCTGACCGCAAGTGTTAGTTTTCATCACGAATTCGTTGGGGTTAGGCTTAATGACCACAATCATATGGAGCGGTAAACTGTCATGGTAAAAACTTATGAGAGATGGAATGAAGGTCAGTAAGCTTAGTATACTGGACTACAAATCTATTTGGAGGTCAAACACTTCAAAATGATTAGTGCATCGGTAGTTCTGGAAGGCAGATTAATCAAGTAAATATAAGGGATAAACCGTGTTTTTGGTCGATATTCAGTCGACACATGTGTGAAATCTGGATTCATCTTGGTTTCTGTATTGGTCTTTGTGATAGGCTGTGGGTTTTAAAATGTGTTAAAACATTTGACGATTATCAATATCATCGGTAATCGCGACAACGAAATTGAAGAGAATATACTTTCATGTTCGGAAATCTCAAGATTAATTCCCAACTAAACGATTACGTGTAAGAAATCCTAAGAATTTTTCGTTTATGAATGTAATAGTTTAGTGCTGGATTTGGGACATTTTTACGTTTGCCTAAATTCGAATGAGTGTCTATGCATTATTGTAAAACGGTTTATTGTCCAATCATTCTTACTAGTTATTTTGACGCCAAGATTAACCAAAGAATGCTTCATTCACGAGGAAATCGAGATTTGTCATAACAGAAGTAGTTGGTCTTTACACACAGTGTTCCGATTTAAAAATTTATGTTTAGAGCCTTTAAGTTTCTCCCAGTTTGTCCGAACTCGGAAAAGCCGTAAGACCTAACAAATCAGGCTGTAATAAAAGTCGTCTCTTTAACCAATCAACAAGTCCTTTAAAGGCTTCTCAACCGAGTGCGAATAGGTGATAGGCCTCCATTGCAGCTCAAAAATTGCACCAGAAGTCTAATAGGAGACATAAAAGCAGACAGTAGCATATTGTATCAGTTGTAGCTCGGTCGACTCCCTGTGAATGTACAGCAGATTGTCACAGTTGGATTTAGTGATGGAGACATAGATTACATCGCAAAACAGCTGATAGAATACACAAAGGAACGAAACGGACGATTTTACAAATACACAACACTGCAGTACATGATAAGGTCGATGCTTTGCAAAAGTGATTGGTATTTTATGCCACAAGCTTACAAAGCCGAAACAAAAGGATGGCCACTAAGTATGTCATATGACAGATATCGACACGCTCTAAAAGATGCTAAGCTTCCACAATATCCTGGTGTCATCAGATGTATAGCAACATAGCTTGGAAATGTAAACCACCGTGCAGGTTTGAATTGATACTAAAGAGAAACAGCCCCATCGGTTGTCAGCAATGACTGCGGTAGCTGGCGCAGCTCCTAGAAACAGTCTGTTTTTACGTCCAGTACGAAAGGACGGGTGCTAAATTTTTAGTGGACACCTAAGCAGAAAGAAACATAGTGCCTCTTGTGTGCTATAAAAGACAAAGTGTTAATAATACGACAACGCTTAAAGTAGCAAATAAATTTGACATAATTTCGGTTGGAGCACTTCATTTTGTTGTGACTTCGTCGTAGCAAATATATCGGCGCCTATTATCAGTACTGATTTCATAAAGAATTTCGGCTTATTAGTAGATTCCCGACGAAAAAATCTCTTGAACAGAGACCACGCAGTAGTAAGAAAAGGATTAATCTTCAACCAAGTATCTATGAATTTAGCAATGTCAAAAGAGAAAAGCGATCCACACGGGTGGCTTCTATATGAGTTCGCTGATTTGACAAGTAATAATCTTAGACACACAGAGCGGCACCATACTTTAACGGGACGCCCGCCTAGGAAAGCAAGACCACGAAAGTTAAACAAAAGAAGTTAAAAAAATTACGAGACATGAATTCAGAATATTGGTGAAACTTGGTAAGATAAGTCCGTCTAGGAGTCTGATGAACATGTTTGAAAAAGAGGAATACACGAGTCAGACTACGTCGAAATTACGGAGCCCTTATTAAACTAACTATGGCAAATAGATATCCCGCACCACATATCCATAACATTTCTAACGACATGTAATTAGCCCTGATCTTATAAAAGACTGACTTTGTTATGGCTTATTACCATATTACCGTGGCGCCAGAGGATATATCAAAAACGACCGTAATCACTCCATTTAAGAATTCGAGTTTTGCCAACGCCTTTCGAATTAACTAATCCAGCTCAAATCTTTTTGTGTTTCATTGGCCAGTTTGTTGTTACGGGAGTAATGAAGGCATTTGGCTGATTAAAACCTTTATATAAATAACATTAAGTTCACTGTTTTTTTGGGTATATTTGTATTACTTAACTTATGAACTTGTTTGATTTATTATATTCGGACATTTTGGTTTCTGTTTGTCTTGGTTTGATAATTGCGAGTTTTTGCTCCAGGAACCTATAAAACTGAAGGTTTTTGTAGTTATTATAATTATTGTTGTTAGAACGACATTGGTCGACTATTTGTAAATTGACGAACGACATTTTGGTCGACTATTTGTGAATTGCGAACAAACTTTAGTACCTAACTTTGGAGTTTGGTTCTGTTATTAATTTGGGTTCGTGAATTGCAAATAGATCGACATACTGTACTTCAATAACGGGAAGGAGCAAAACTTGGACGTAACACTGTTAGAGGTTTGTCTGGGATAAGTGTGTATATCGATGACACACTAGAAGCTAACGCTACAGTGGAAGAACATCCATAACAAATAAGAAAGTTGTTTACGAAACTACTAGAACATGGCGTCTGCATTAACGATTAGAAGCGTGAATAAGGAAACAGATCACTGCGATTCCTCAGTCCTATAGTAAATTCTTTAGGTATCGCGCCCGCTTCAGCAGAAGTTGCAGCTATTCGCGATTATCCATTGCGTGAACCACAAAAAATTACTACTATTCTTGGGGCTAATAAGCTAATAAGGACGATTTATTATAAACTGCGTAACGATTATTCAACCATTGTCGAGGACATGTCCGGACATTTCATTTGTCAACAGAGACTATACAGGCACTTGAGAGCGCTAGTGAGTACTCAAATGGCAGACAATGTAGGTAGGACGAAAGTGCAAGGCTCCACTAGCCTTCGTGACTGATAATTGACCATAACTGTTGAAGGTGTAAAGAAACGGATCGTGAATGCCCCGTGAAGAGCCACTTACACTTTTTCAAGGAAGTTAAATCCGACTAAAACGAGGTACAGTACGTTCACAAGAGAATCGCTGTCAGTTTACATGGCAATAAAGCATTTCCAGCATGTGTTTAGGGGTACCATTTCCACAATGTATACAAATCATAAAACCCTCGCGGAAGCAACGCCAGACAGGATTCCTATTCGCCGAGGGAAATTCGGCAATTGGAATTTACCTCCCACATTACGTCTATCCTTTACCATATATTAAAGGTCATAATAAGGAATTAGCAGATGCATTATCCAAAACGATGACAAAAGCTTATGTACAACGTCTCAAAGAACATATGAGTGATCTCAGAACAACGCATCCCATGAAAAATCAATATCAGGTGTACAAACCGGAAAAAATGAACGACAGAACCCCCAAGGGATGATGAGCAACGTCCCTTAACAGCGACCTACGATGATCCATTTTAGGCGATTAGAAGAAACTATTACTTTCGATGAAGCTGGAAAAACGAATGCAATTAGCATCAACCAAGTCAAACCACATTTCGCCAAAGGTGGCGACCAGCCATTAGGCACAAATTCTTCGAGGACCATTGAATCACCGAAAAACGATTTCTAGCCATGGTCGACAACAACGAAGAAATAAGAAGAAAGCCCAGTAAAGACAAGATGGGTTCGAACAGTCAGATGGTCGTAACGATACGTAGCTACGATTTTGAACCCAAACGTTTTGCGCCACCTAAAATATAAAAATACTTTTACTCCTTCGATTTATATTGTGCACATCGAAATTATTGAGGTGTCTATTATTAAAGTTGACATATTTTACGTCTTCCGACGTCTAGCTGTATAACCTGAAAAAATTACCGATTACAAGACGAAATGTGTAGAATCTATTTTGTAAAACCACGTTTGGGAAAATCCCTCCATGTACATATTTGTAATATGCTCCCACTGACTCTTTCTGTGCTACATTTTGGTGGTCTGTTTAATTCCATTTTGGGATGTTAATATTTGTATTTTGTTATAGTTTCTATTCTTGTACATTTATTAGAGTTTCTATGTTCCTTTCCTAACTGCTTTTTGTTATTTAAGTTGATACTTAACTATGGATAAACTTTGTATTATTATGAAAGGAATAAACGTGTAATATTGTTTAGGTATGAATTTATATTTGTAGTTGTGATTAATGAAGGAACCGTTACTTACCCAGATAAATTGCTTTCTTTTGGATTAACTAGGCAAGGCGCCCATCTAAACTTCCTGAACCGTTATTCCAAAAATCAAAACCCTGTTTTGACTTTAAAAACTGGTCTAGAGAAATAAATAAGAGCGACACTCGCTGGTTGGTGCCGTTCAAGGGTTACTACCATTCGCAAGCCAGAACAAAGTATAGGAGTTGGGCATGAGGTTGGCATTCCCATCACACAGAAAACAAACAGACTCTTTCTGTGCTACATTTTGGTGGTCTGTTTAATCTCATTTTTGGATGGTATTATTTGTATTTTGTTATAGTTTCTATTTTTTTACCTTTATTGAGATTTCTATGTTTCCTACTGAACTGTACTATGATGTTTAAATTGATACCTAATTATGGTTTCAGCCATATCACATTTGATACCCTGGTGGGTGAAACTTTCATCTGGACTATAAGGGTGCAAATTTGGATCTAAACGGAGCATTCTTCCAGAATTGGAAACACATTGTGTTAAATTTGACAGAGAACAGTGTAATATTTTTTAGTTAATTATCTATACGGTCTAATTGATAATAGAACCGTTTCTTACCCAGTTAAATTGCTTTCTTGTTGAAATGTCCGGGTAAATAGCGTATCTAACCTTCTAGAACTGTTCTTCCGAATTCAGAATCCACTATAAAAGCTTACAATTCTAAAAAATATTTGAAGAAGAAGAAAATTTTGGTTATCTTAGCTCAATAATAATTCAAGAAGACGGAACAGTCAATTGAATGGAACTCATCACCATGCATCAACTTCTCTCACTGCGAGAAACGATTTGATAGCATGAATAGAATTACACCTGAGATAATTAACATCATTTGGAATAGTCATGGCGAAGTACGTTGAAAAGTCGTGCAAGGACGATAGTTCATAGACTCATTCCAGGTGAGTGCTGGTGTCAGACAAACCTGCATACTATCACACTCATTCATTTGATTTTGGACTAAATTGTAAACAGTTCAATACAGAAAGCAAAATTAGATACGATGGACCACTACGGTGCACCTAGGTGATTTGACCTTCTTAAATGACCTAGCTCTTCTATCCCACACGCAACAGCAAATGGAGAAGAAGATAGCCGTCGTAGTAACATCCTCTGTAGCAGCAGGTCACATTATTCACAAAGCGAAAGCCATATTCTTGTATATAGCACAACAAACACCAACCATAACACACCTGATGGAGAAGCTTAGGAAGATTTTGAGTGCTTCTTATACCTGTTCGGCATTAGTGACATGTAAGGTGGATATGACACAGCTATGAAGACACGGATTAGCAAACCAAGAACATCATTTATACAAACAACTGTAACCAGTCGAGGTAGAATTTTTATTACGAACGTATAAACAGTTCTATTGCATTGAAAAGAAACTGTGAGCACTATGGAACCATGCGTGTAAAGACAGAGGGTTTCACTAATAAGTTTCTGTGCATTATACGATAGATCTGTTAGTCAGATTCTATCAGCAGCAAACAACTGTGGAAGAGAGCAAACCACATTGTAGTTGAGTAAAAGATTAGGAAAAATCTCTGCAAGTGAATGTGACACATTGCAGAATTCGCCCAGTGTCATCATGAGGCAAGCAGTAACTGGAAATCCCGAAGGTTGAATGCAAAGAGACAGATCAAGGAAAACATTGAGCCAATAATGTTCTGCAGAACAACATTCGAGTAGAACTTGGAAGGAAGGCCCAGGATAGAGTTGGCTGGAGGCTGATAGTCGGTGACCTATGCCCCGGAAGGAGTAACAGGAGTTGTTATGTAAAAGCTAGACATTAACTGTGCCAACTTAGTGTTAATTTGGGTGACATTGGGACTGAAAGTGGCGTCTCTGCCTACACTGGGAAAGTAATGGAACATTTCAACTAAATAAAACTAATGAGCGAAAATTTAATAGATTCGGAAATATACCTAACAACCATCCTATTGACTTGCAACGGTCTCAAAACAGAACAAGAAGTGTAGCAGCAACAGTGGGTTTTTGAGTGTCGTGCAAGCATTGCGCAAAGCAAAAAAAATGAGAAAAACATAAAAATTGAGTTTAAGAAAAGTAAGAAGGACTGTAAAAGTCAAATGGAATCGAGTTTTATTTAAATGTTGTTAGAAATATTTGCAAAATAAGTCGATGTTACTCTTAATTAGGCGCCAAAGTTGTGTCTGACGGTACTCGTCTGTCGTTAATCACTGTTAAGCTGGAAACCTGCTAATTCCAAGTGAGAAATTAATCAGTGTAAAAATTAACGTAGTCGAATATTCAGAAAGTCGCTTTATAACGGACTAAAGGTTAAATAATCACCAATATAAACGTGTTCCTTATAAATGTGTTCCCTTCCTTTTTTGTGGAAGTCCTCGTAGTTTAAATATGGTTTTCTGATTCGTACGTGCACCAATCCAAATAAGGTCGACGGACGTAGCCACTACCTACTTCATTCTTGGACACCACTTTTAACTTAAGCATTTTTAAAGACTTCCAAAGCAAACTGAGAAGGGAAAATTACGGCAAACAGGTAGAAAATAATCAGGACATTACTCCAGGTAATCTAAGATTTACTCACGGAAAACACGCCTATCAGTAACTTCTTGTCTATCGTGAGGAAAGAGCACGAAATCGCCGTATATTGTCGCTTTATCTTCAAGATGTTGAGTTACTTTTTTTGTTTAAATACACGAATCTTCTCTTTTCCGCTTGAAAGGAACCTTAGTCGTCTACTTTATACACTATTCACGCATAATTATATTCCCTTAATACTGACGTACCTCATGCTTGCCTACGTTTTCATCACAAAACAAACGTTTAAATTTAATCGACTATATTTAAAATAACTTGCTAAAGTTAGATAGAAGGTCAATAACAAATTTTCACCAAATATTTCGTTGTGAGAGTGAAGTCCCACTGTCATCGACAAAGGTCCGAAAAGTCACAGGTATCATGAAATAAGTCGATTGAAAAATGCTGCCGAAGTCAAATACGCTTTCATTACATACACCCGAGTTGTTTTAATGCCAAAAATGTAAGTGACAAAGTAAATGCATTGTATGAGGAAGCCTTATGAGGCAAAGAAGTTTAAAATGAAACAATTTACTAAAACGGCAGCATTTCGGAAACTTAGTGCAACTATTCGAAATGCAAAAAAGAACATTTACACAAGAGCTGTGCTGCCGTATTTGTTCAGACAACTGCCAAAACAAATCGGGACTTACGGTAATGCTCGTTGACGAAACTCTCGACCCACAAAACGCCAGTGAGAGGTTATCATTTCTAATCGCTGCATACACTACAGGACTAATTTGTTGGACGCTTCTGCAGTTTATCCCACAGATCGTGCAAATACCCCTACATTGTGATATTGCATAATATTGCAAGTTATTTTTCTGTGACGGACGACGATAAGAAACTGAACGTCAGTGCCACAAGAGATTATGAGGAAAAACAATCCAATAGATTTAGTAGACCTACGGATTAGTCTCTCATGTCTTCTCATTGAAAATATGCATCCAACATTCTCAGTTCCTCTTCAGATTACAAACGAAAATGCAAACTTGACAGTCGAATATCAAGTTAACGTGGTCAATCACATGACTGGCCAATTTACTCAAGTGAACCAATAATTTGTTCTCAGTCTGCAAACTGTCTGGAGGGAGTGAATGTCTGTGCACAGGTAGCTCACCACAGCAGTAGGTAGCCTTGAACTCAATGAGTGACCAGTTGTCATCTGGTTGAGCACTTTTGGAGGTGCATATCCTCAAAGTTGGAGAGCTATAAACAACGTTTTTTGCCTACAATCCATCTGCTTGTGACAATCAAAACCTCCTTCTTACTTGGTGCATCAATGGGTACAGTCAATGAGTCAGTCGACTACAACTTAGAACTAAGTATGCACATACATCAGTTCGAGCTGTCATGTCACATTAGTACAAATAGATGGAATTGTCAGTTCTAATGCCATAGTAGTAGAGGTAGTAGTAGTAGTAGTATTACCGGTAACCAGAAACATTAGGGATGGGCGATGTATTTCGAGAAGTATATCCCGGTGAATTTAACTTAAAAAAGGGGATAAAGGTCATGAGGGATTTACAACATTAGAATTTGAGAAAAGAAACAAATTGGATGCATTTGCGTGACTGCAGACGAATTTGAACCTTGTTATTCAAAGTCTCCAACCGTGGGTTACGACTGTCTCGTGGACCCCAACTAGGTAGTCCTCATGGATCGGTGTCATGTTTTGGTTTGACTGATTCGAGCTTTTTTCCAGACTAATCCTACACCAGATAGCATCGATGAGGATAAGGTGATTAGTAGTACGCTAACCAGTATTTGATAGTTGGGAATTAGTTCAAAATAATGACCTGAATAAGAAATACCAGAAACTGTTCACACGAACGAAAATGTCGACGGAAATACACTTACAGTACAGATCTTTTTACTGTGTACAGAGAGAAAAACGTATAGTAAATATATAGCTTGACGCTAGGCTTTACACTATCTTTAGTTTTAAATAAATGTTAAGCTAGATGAGCTTGTCTGTCGTTTTCGCATATCGATTTTTCCTTCTGTTTTCTTCGCAGGTTGAACTTTTGGCTACAGATCACACAGATCTTCACTTAACGGTTTAACTGTCAAAGTCGTTTAGCTAAATTTGTCAAACATGGATTTGCTTGATAAGAACGAATCTATATCTTCCATTCAAGTAACTCATCTGTTACATCTAATCTCTATCAGGAATCAAGAGATGCTTTTGTCCTCATGAAACAAAACAGTGTGATAGATGATGAAGTTCAATTCCGCTATGCTGTCGACCTCCTCCGTACTACTAGTAGGGAGGCACTTAATCTCTCCATTAAGTTATTCGAAGGTTTGTCTCAGTACAATCATAATACCTGCAGAATTGTTTAATAGCACAAAAGATGATGGTCTACGGCGTGACTGTTTGTATTATTTGGCAATAGCTTACACCAAACTGACAGTAAGTGCATTTGTTTATATAACACCCGACAGGACTATGAAAACGCAACTCGATGTTGTGATAATATATTGGCGGTACAACCAACAAACCAACAGGTCCAAGAATTAAAGAATGTCATACATTCTCGTGCTAAAAGAGGTATCGAAAAATATTTTTCTAAAATCGCGTTAGCCGAATATATGTATATTCAAACTCAGTTTGATTTTATATTTCACTTTGCATATTGAATCAAGGAGATATAACTGTATTTGAAACCCATTCCTTTTTATAATTTTAAGAAGTAAATAATTTGAAAATCTGCGTAGGATATTCAGAAACAAAGAGTATTTGAGCGAACAATTGTTTGTAAAAATTTAGTCACCGTGCTTTACAGCTTTGAGTCCACAATCATTGTGTTATTTTAGCCTCTAACTACGGTTGATGAAATCTAGAGAAGTGAGGTGTTCAGCTTACTAAACTGTCCTACCTCTTGTAGTTAGACTATGTGAATAGATGCCAAATCAAATACAGTGTTCTACACCTTGAGGTAGTTTTCATCACTGAAGTTCCTCTTACATTCCTACATGATGCAAATAATGGGAATTAAAGCTGGATTTGGAATCTGTGTGAAATCCAAATTTGACGGTAGATTACAAATGGTCGTTTCATCTCGGTGTTGTGTTATGTTACCTCATGTCAATTAAATTCATAAATCGTTTAAGACTGAAGTATAAATAGTTCGAAAGCTTATTCATCTTCCACAATAAGTACATTTTATACTTGGTTATTGACTTCAGCGATTTGTACGTGTAAGTCTGGACCTTTTTTACAAAAATCTAAAAGAACCTTTTGACAAACCAGTTCACTTAGATTATATGAAACTTTAAATACTTGTTATTTTAGATGGTCTGACTGGTTTAGCAGTTGTTGGTGGTGCTGTTTTGGGAGCAGCTGCATTGTTGGGCATTGGTCTCGGTGTTGGTTTATCGAAACGTCGATGATCTGAGCTATTCAATGACTACGATTCCTATCATATGAGATTTTCTGATTATTTTCTTTCCTTGTTACTGCAAAGTATGTACAAATTATTGTACTAACTTTTGTCAATTTCATATTTTCTATGTTAAAGCAATACATTTGGTATTTTTAAAATCTATTTGACAACCACTAATTCAACAGCTAAATGTTTTACTTTCCTCTCACGGCTTTGGAAATCCGTTTTAGCTGCCAGGTGATAGATATTGATAATGATCAAAACTTTATTGCTTTATTTGTCCGAAGAGCTGTCAACAGAAGAGTGTGAGTCTGGATTTTGGTTTTTTCAGCTCTTTTATATCTGTTTAGTCGGTTTGTCAAGTACAATCGCGCAGATACATCCACTCTTTGAGTTCTCTCAAATCCTAGTCTTCTAGGTTCGTCAACACCTCTACTTTTGTCTTTCTAAACCTGTCTCACTGAATTATACTTCTTAAACAATATCTTGGAACCCTAATCCTCTCTATTACCAGTAGTACTCCTACTATCTCTACCACTATGGGATTTGAATTGACAGTTGCGTCTCTGTGTTCATGTGGTATGGCAACATGAACTGATGTACTTACGTACGAAGTTCTACGTTGCATCTGACTGACTGTCAAGTACCTACCGCTCAAACCTAAACTACCATGGATGAAGTTGGAGAATATTTACGAAGTTCACAGTCAATTGTAGTTAGTTATCATTCTACAGTATTTCATATATACTAAGTGTAGTGATGTAAATTATTATCTTAGCGTTTGATTTTTATTTGTAAACGTGGTAGTGACAGATTAAATCCAGATCATGTATTCAACTGCATGTATTATTCGGGATAAAAGCATTGGGATAATTAATTAGATCAGATAGAGAGCACTAAGCCAATCACTTTTTTACCAAACAAATTCATGTACTGATAAACTAAATGAAAACAACCTATTTGTGAAACCGTCTGAAATGTTGCAAGTATGGATAGAACTGTTTAAGACCACTAAACGACAGTGACATTGGTTAGCTACACTGGGTTTAAATCGCATTTCATAGACTAGTGAGTGGTATATTTGCTAGATTATACGTATATCAAATTTAGTCGATAACGCGTACACACAGATGCTATCGAGAATATGAGCGTCAAGTTTTTAAAAGGAAAGAGATTTTTAATAAGGTATAAACAGATTAATTGTACGATAATTCAGAGAAGATCACCGCCCAAGTGTTAGTACAATAAAAATATGTCTTTAACCTTTAGTGGTGATGGATTCGAGATTGAATATAATCACCACGAAATACTAATTACTAGCCCGTTACAGAGAAGACAAAATAAATCCATGGTAAAGAATGTATTTGCTGGCGATTTCGTGGTGTGGAAATAACACCGAAATTGAGCCAGGAAAGTGGGGCGAATTTACAGAGTTGGTAGAGCAAAAAGTGGCAGCTACACAAACAGAAACTTTGCGTGTGCAGTGTTATAAACAAAGAGTACAGTTAAACAATCACTGGTAGAATTGGTTACAATAATGAATGTTTCTATCAAACCAATCACGTTCTCTTCATAAAAGTGGATTAACCACAAACCCAAGGCATTTAATCAGGAAAGTATACATTTAAGTGTATGAATGATTGGCGAAAGTTACAGTGGCACTCAAATGTAATCAAGCATAGCATTTCCTTGTTTAATTAGTAAGGTCCATGTTCTGAGGAAATTACTATCATGGACTCATCATTAAAGTAGGGATACTGTTGTTGAGTTTCTTATTTGAACTACCTAAACGTGACATTGTTAAGAATTGCAACCCAGTGTGTATAAGTACTAAGTAACAACATGTTCATTGCATTGAATCCATCCATTAAGTTCTACCTGCTCATCTAATTAGCTTTGATTTTTATTATCTTGGGTGCCAGTAATCTATGGGATGAGGCCAAATTAAGTTCTGTGAACAGCCAGACGGAAGCAATAACGTAAATGTTAAGAAACCAAACGAGAATACATATTTTAGATCAGAAATTTCTCCAGTTGTCAGTCAGATGCAACGTAGAACTTCGTACGTAAGTACATCAGTTCATGTCGCCATACCACATCAGCACAGAGATGTAATTGTCAATTCAAATCCAATAGTAGAAGAGGTTGTAAGGGTATTAGAAGTAATCGGAGAGGTTAGGATTAGAAGATACTATTCAAGAAGTATGATTCAGTGAGATAAGTTTAGAAAGTCAAAACTAGAGGTGTTGGAGAATCCAGAAGATTAGGGTTTGAAAGAACACAAAGAATAAATGCGCCGGCGCCATTGCGAACGATTTTGAACCATGTCACTCAAGGTCTCTAACCATCGATTATTATCATCTCGCGGACCCCAACCAGGTAGTCGACAATTACCGACATGGCTAAGTCCACTCGTCAATGACTTCATGGATTTCTGCCATGTTTTGGTTTGGCCACCCCTAACTTTCTTCCAACCTACTCTTACACTACAAAACAAAGCTCGTCGAGGCAGTCGGTGGTTAGGCATACGCAACACATGTCCCAACCACCTCAACTGATGAAGTTTCATTACTTCATCTATTGATCTGCCATTCTTACCTAGCACCCCATTCCTAATAACAGCGTTGCTCACTCGGGTGTCCAACGATATACGAGCAATGCTTCGAAGACACCTATGATCGAAAACCAGTAACCTACGAATATCTTCTACCCTCATTGGCCATGTTTCACAGCCATAAAGTAAGACGGAGCAAACCACTGCACAGTACACTCGTCCTTTATTCAGCAAACGGATATCTCGCCTACGCCATAAGTGACGCAGGTTGACAAAAGCCAATCGAGCCTTCTGTATCCGTGCTGAGATTTCGTCAGTCACCAGGCCATCGGTACTGATGAGACCCCCAAGATAAGTGAAGCGGTCTACACGTTCGACTACTTCACTCCCTATCACTAGTTCAGGTGCCGATGAAACCCAATCTTGAAGCAACATTTTGCATTTCGAGGGCGAAAACCGCATCTCGAACATGCTTGCATTGTTGCTTAGGATAGTCAGAAGACTCTGCATTTTGTCAGCGTCTTCACCAAGTAGGACTATGTCACCGGCATATTCTAAGTCGATAAGCGATCCAACTGGTAAAAGGTCTACTCCTTAAAATTCAGACGAGGATAAGGTTATTTCTAGGAGCATGTCTATGATAAAATTAAACAAGAATGGAGAAAGTGGACATCCCTGACGGACACCACTTGAAGTAAAGACTTATTGAGGCCAATAATTTAGATACTGTATTACTGTGAAGATGTGGTCTACACAGCCACGTCCAGGTCGAAAACCAGCCTGGTTTTCTCGAGTCTGCTCTTCACGAGTTTTCGTTAGGCGCCGAAGTATTATTGAGGCCAATATTTTAGATACTTTATAAGTTAGACTTATTCCCCTGTGATTGTCACAAGAAGACTTTTGTCCTTTCTTATAAATTGGGACAATCAGTGATTCAGACCAGTCGGATGGGATTACGTCCAGTTACCAGATCCTACCTAAGATCTCAGTCAACCTAGCTGCTAAAACTGGACCACCATCCTTAAATATCTCAGGGGTCAGTCTATTAGGACCCGCAGCTCGCCATCGCTTCAGATTTCCTAACGCTTTTTCAATTTCATTAAGACTAGGGGGGTTACGTCGATTTGCCATTCAGGATGACTGAAGATCGTGGGTAACCGAAGAGTGGCTCGAGGCCAGTTGAACTGATCCCTAAATTGTTCTGCCCATCGATCCAGTCTCCTGGATTGAGAATAAATAATAGTCCCATCATTTTCTGAGATAGTCTCACTTACATTAGGATTCCTAATACCAGTTTGCTTGATAAGTCGGAAAAGTTGTCTACTGTTGCCTATCGCCGCTGCCTTTTCCATCGCTTTTCCTTTCGCCACCCACCACTGTTCGCGGTCGTTACGTAGGCTGTTTATAAGTCTGTGCCTAAGTTGTTTTCGTTCTTCATCATGTTCAGAGCCAGGTGGGATGAGTTTTCGGGCATCCATCAGATCGGTGGATGCTACTGAGATCCACGGCTTCATTCTAGCCTTATGGTCAACCTTACTAGCAGATATCACTGCTATTTCCACAGCCTTTGTGATATCATTCTAACCTGCTTCCGGATGGGAACCGCTCAAATGGTCGCCTAACTGTCTTTCTAGTTGTTCCTGAAATATATTTTTCGCCCTATTATCATTAAGTAAAGCCCTAAGAGGCTTCCTTATGGTGTATTTCCTACGCCCAGTAAGCTTCAAACAAATACGCGCTCGCACTAGGGCATGATCTGATTCTAAACATGTGCCCCAGAACGAGCGACAGTCTTCTATCGAACCCCTCCATCGGTGGCTGATGGCGATGTGATCTAGTTGTGCCCAACGTTGAGACGACTTTGGAGGTCGCCAGGTCAACAGATGCTTTTCCTTGTGCCTAAAGTTAGTGTTCGCTAAGAATAGGCGGTTGTCTGAGCAAGTTTGCAACAGACGGTCACCATTGTCTGTTCTCTGAGCCGCGACACTATAACATCCACCTAGGTGTCTTTCATTTTCACTCAGTCCACCTACTGGAGCATTAAAGTCACCAGCCATTAATACTATATCAGAGCGCCTAGCTTTTTGGAGGAGGTCCGAAAGCTTTCTGTAAAACTCATCTTTAACCTCGTCTGAACTGCAGTCAGTGGGGGCATAGGCAGATACGATGAAGAGGCAACGGCGATTGTCCCTATCTTTCCGAGTCCTTACTGTCCCGTTTAGTCGGACAGCGCACAAGCGACTATCTACTGGGATCCAGTCAAGGAGAGATTGTTCAGCTCTACGACTCAATGCTATGCCTACGCCAGCAAGACCCCTGGAAGCAGCATCAGGGCTACCGGATACACGAAGAGTAAATCGAGCTGCTTCTTTATTTTGACAAGGTGAAATCAGATTATTAGTTTTACTAGGATCCTGTATGAGCGTTTCCCAAACGCAGCATAAATCGATTGAGCGAGATTCTCAAGTCCTAGTTAATGATGCCTGTTGCCCTATTTGACACAATGTCCGTACATTAAATGCTCCAACATGTAGTCTAGAGCGGGGTTTAAGGAGACCAGAGACGACGTTTCGCGAACTCGTGTCGTCTGCATTAGCTGTGCACTGTGATAAATGAATGTGACAAGTGTTAGTCGTTGAGATAAGAGAGGTATTAGAGGGTGTAGGAAGGATTTGATTTTGACCAATTTGGTCTCGTGTGCTGTTACGGGTATGAGGGCGGTTGTCACTTCCCGGCTGCCCACACTGTGGAAGGTTGTTTCTTGAGGAACCTGAAAAGGAAAATAGATTAGTGTGGGTCTTAGAGACCTGGGAGCGTGACCGCAGAGTCCAAGGGACAACTGCTTCAGGCCGGTCACGCACGGCCTTTTTATGAAACGTTTTTAGAGGATTAGCTCCGTTCTTTAAGGCCCTTTGTGGGCACCCTTACCAAAGGAGACGGAAATCCGTGAGTT